TTATTCTTATTCCAATTTTTATCAAAATATTAAAGCTAAGTTTTCCTTTCAATTGTAAAGATACTTTTCTTATCAGCATGGAATTAAGAAAAACTGATGCCGATATTTTTTTTGTCAAAAGTTGCGAATTTTATGTTTTAAAATGAGGAAAATTACATCAAGATTGTGACATAAATTATATTAGAATTAATGAAGCTTTTTTTTTATTAAATTTATTAATGCCTCAGAATAATAAAAAGTTGTTATCTAATTTCTTTTAAAAAATAAAATAAAATAATAACAACAATTTTTGTTCATAATCACTTTTATAAAATAGTCCCTAATAATGATATTTGGGTTATTAATTCAAATTTTTTCTTTTTTAAGAATTTAATAGCTCTTTAGCATTAATGCATTGTCATATATTATAATTTTATTTTGATTAATAAAGTCAAAAATTAAATATAGAATAAAAATTCATTCACTTGTCTAAAATAATTGGGATAAAATTATTGATGATGGCACATGGCTCTATGATTGAGGGTGTTAGCTCTTACTATGAAAGATATAAGTCAAGCATATTAATTATTAGTTTTAAAAAATTATGATTAAATTTATTTAATGACAAAATTATATTGATGATGTGGATGATGAGAATTAATCGAAGTATATGACAAAAAAAGAATATTAAAAGCGTGTTTTGTCTTTTTTTTTTTAATTTGATTAAAATGGTACTTATAATTGTATTTTAAACTTATAGGCGCATGATTAAAAAAATTAGGGTCGTTTTTATGGGATTTAAAATATATATTAAACTTATAGTTTATTTAAAAATTGACCATAATTTTATGTTTAACCATAGATATTGTTAATCGCACATGTATTAGTGCTGATTAAATATGTTTAATAAAGATAAATTAGGTTTAATTAAAGCGGTGTTAAGCGTGCCGCTTATGTGGATGGTTTTGGATAATGATGAGGCAGCTTAATGCTCCCTCATGGTTCGCTGTGGCTTGCTGGCAACCTTGGTGGGTGGCTCTTCTATTGCCCCATTGGATGATTCATGCCTCTTAGTTGGGTGGTTGCAGATAGCTGTTATTTACTGAGTCCTACTTACTTCTTCCTTGTTTTCACTGATTTTTGTCAGTTCCTCTATCTTCGGGGTTCAAAAGATGACCCGACCCATCAACTCTATCCAAAAAATTCAGGCTCAGGTTGACCTATTTAAAAAATGGGTCAGTTCTGGTCTAAAATTCTGACCTGTTTATTAAATGGATCAGGTTCGGATTGCGCCGCCAATCCAATTTTGATACGAAATAATCATTTTAAATTATTTTTTTCTTATTTTTTTTTTAATTTTGGGTATGATTGCCTTATTTTTAATTAATTTATATAAAATATATTGTTACTGATACATCATTAGAAAATTATCTTGATCATGCACAAATCTTGAAGCAAAATTGAGTTGGAAACTTCAGAGATTAAATTAAGGACCATCTGAACTCCGATTTCAGCGAGCTTATAGTCAAACTGAGCGTCTCAGAAATACGAACCCAACGACACCAAATTCAACCCAATCCGAGCCCAAATGGGTCCAAATCAAGGACCCGAAGCGCTGTTGGGAGATTCAAACCACAATTTGAGTTACCAAACGGTCTCCGATTTTCACGAGCTTATACTCGAATCGAACGTCTCGACGAGACGAATCCAACGAGCCCAAGATCACCAAATTCCGACATCATCAAGGCCTTCAAATGTCTAACGAACGGTCCACGATCAAGAGATTCAATATCGACCGTCCATTCAAACCACTCCCGATTCGCCCTTGATCTCACACCTATTTACAAGCCACGCCACTCCAGAAAAACTATAAATAGAGCCCTCATTCTTCACAAGAGGGCTCAAGTGAAGAG